TAAGACTAAACTCCAACAAGATCAATTTAAAGCGACCTTGTCAGACCTACGCTCTCGGGAAGAAAAAGGAGAGTCAGATTTGATTATTAAATTTATTAATGGAATCCCCACTATTAGCAAAAAGCCTCCACCAAAAAACTAAAAACAACAAGTACAGTATCAATTTATTACCAAAATTTGGGCGGTGTACGCACAAGACTTGACCAGCTGCGTTGTGCAATATTACAATGTGATTATTCTTGTTGAAACTTGGCTGAATGACGAGTATTCTAATAATGAACTTTCAAACTCAAACTACCAAGTATTTCGGCGGGATCGTGACTCTCAAACTAGTGCAAAGTTGCGGGGTGGTGGAGTTGTAATTTTAATACGGAATCACTTTAAGGCTAAATTAGTCAAGACAGAGGCATTGAATATAGAGCGTCTCTTTGTCCAGGTGGATTTTCAGGCTGGTTCATTCATGCTGGGTGGGGTGTATATTCCACCAAACTCTGCAGAGGACATCTACATTGCCCACTGCTCAGCAGTGGAAAATGTTAAAAATACTAGACAAGGAATTCCTTTGTACTTATTTGGTGATTATAATTTGCCACTGGCTACATGGGCTTATTCTTTGGATGATGGTCTTTCAGTGGTGTGTCCCCAAAATTATCCAGCTAGTTTTGGGTGAATCCTTTTCCTATCTGGACCTCATGCAATCAAATTCTATTCCGAATCAGCATGGTGTATTTTTGGATCTCATATTGTGAACAAATATTTATATTTACACAATAAAGCACATTTTGAATTTGAATTTGAATTTAATTTTTTGGTAGTGTTAGTGACAACCAAAAGCTGTCTGTATACCAAGCAGTTGACACTCTGCTCCCTAATAACTATCATCACGTGTCAGTTGCCTGTGATATTAATTATTCTACTAGTGTTCATCAGTTGGACTATACAACCACATATTTAGATTTTAGAAATGCAGACTTTGTTGGATTAAATAATTATCTTTGCTCGGTTGACTGGGAGAGTCTCTTTGACAAATCTAATACAGTAGTGTCGCGATAATCCGGATCAATTAAAACCAGACCAATCCGGATTATCAAATTATTCGGATTACTAAGGCATTTTACAGTCCGCTTTTTCTTAATGTCGCTGATGGTTGAAGCCCCTACTCCATACTTAACAGATAAATATTCGCCACTAATTCCGCGTTTCAGCTTGTCTATAATCCCTGACTTTTCGTTGAGACTTAAAGTTTTGTGTTTGCGTTTAAGAGATGCCATTTTCTTTGAAAAAGCCCACACAGTAAGGAAGGACGCTGCGTATTGAATGATGCATGTAGACATGTAAAAACTATCTATTCACTTGAACGCAGTTACAAAACTACAAGTGAAAACCTGTGTTTTTATTTTCAACAGTCATGTAAATGAATTCGGATTACTAAATCAAGTAAAATCCGGATTACAGAGTACATCAAGGAAATGAAAATGCGATGTGGATTATAGAAGCATACGGATTATCGCGGGATCGGATTATCGCGACACTACTGTATTAATAGTTCTACAGATAATTTTTATGAAGTTCTTTTAAATGCCATATCTTTATATGTTCCTAGAAAGACATTTAAACCTTCAAAGTTCCCTCGTTGGTTTAGTCCAGAATTAAAAAATCTTGTTTTGTCAAAGAAGGCTGCACATTTGAAATTTAAGCAGGGTCAATTGGCAACTGATTATATCTTGTTCTCTAATCTTCGTGTGCAGTGCAAAACACTGACAGATCAATGCTATAGATCATATATGGCTACCATTGATGATTCAATCCGTTCTGATTCCAAACAATTCTGTGATGCATCTCAATGACAAGTCTGCTGAATCAAGCGAGGAAATAGGTAACTTATTTGCAGAGCATTTTTCAAGTGTATACTGCAATAATAATGTACCTTTTAATAACTCTGAATCTCCACCAAACAACTCACTCAATATACCTTTTATTCAGTTTAACCTTTCCGAAGTTTTTGAGTCAATCATGAATCTCAGGGACAAGTTAAGTCATGGCCCTGACAGTATCCCTAACTATTTTTTAAAAAGATGTGTCTATAGTCTGTCAAAACCCTTAAAGGTCTTATTCAATTTGTCTTTAACATTACAAACTTTTCCTGATAAATGGCGTGATAGCTATATAACTCCCGTACATAAAAGTGGCGACAGAGATAATATCAAGAACTACAGACCGGTCGTAATGCTTTCTTCTATTCCTAAACTTTTCGAGTCAATACTAAATCAACATCTAACATGGCACTGTGAAAAATTTTTAATTAACCAACAACATAGGTTCCGTCAGGGAAAATCCACCTCTACCAATCTCGTCTTATATCATGATTACATTGTCAGGGCCTTCGAGAGCGGTTACCAGGTAGATTCCATCTATACAGATTTCTCGAAGGCCTTTGACACGGTAAATCATACACTTCTCATTTCTAAGCTAAGATGGCATGGGTTCCCTGAGTGGCTCCTTTTATGGGTAACTAGTTATCTGGGTGGCAGGGTTCAATTCGTGAATATTAGGGGATCAATCTCAATTGCCATATCAGTTACTTCCGGAGTCCCACAAGGCTCACATTTGGGCCCCCTCCTTTTTAATTTATTTATAAACGACATTAGTGACATAATAAAATTTTGCAAGTTCTTATTATTTGCTGACGATCTTAAATTATATTTTAAGATATCAAATTTGTCAGATTGCTTAATGGTCCAGGAAGATCTAAATTCCCTTTATGATTGGTCTGTCGCTAATGATCTTCATCTGAATAAGGATAAATGTTTTGCTATATCCTTTTCTAAGTCAAGGGATCCAATTAAATTTGACTACCATATTAACTTAGATTTTCTTCAAAGAGTTAATGAGATTAAAGACCTGGGGCCTATTTCATAAAAATGAAGAGTTGAAGAGTTGAGGAGTGAGGAGCGACATAATGTTACATTTCATTTCATAAAAGTTTTGAAGAGTTGAGGAGTAGACGCAAATTTATTTTGAAACAAAAACGAAATTTCCTTTTCACTCCTCAACTCTTCACTCTTCACTCGTCGCTCATCAACTCTTCATTTTTATGAAACAGGCCCCTGGGCGTAGTTTTTGATTGCACTCTGTCTTTTATCCCCCACATTAATAACATGTCAAACAAATCCTTTCGTATTCTTGGTTTCATTACAAGAAACTCTCGAGATTTTTCAATATCGACATTTAGAGTACTGTACTTGACACTGGTTCGTAGTATCTTATCCTACTCTTCAATAGTATGGTCTCCTTATTATTTAAATCATATCTACACCCTGGAAAAGGTGCAAAACAAATTTCTCAAAAGTTGTGCGTGGAAATTAAATTTGCAAAATTCATCAATGGTAGAGATAAGATCATTGCTTAATCTTGATTCCCTTGAGGATTATAGAACTGGATGTGACCTAACATTTTTATATAAATTACATAATTACCATATTGACTGCTCTGATTTACTAGGCCTTATAAATTTTAAATGTAGTAATAGAATTCTTAGAAATATGCCATTATTTACAATTGAAAACCATCACACAAACTATGGGAAATATTCTCCTGTTAACAGAATTCAGTTGTTGGGAAATGATTTTACCCAACACCACTATGAACTGATTGATATTAGGTTTTCAAAGTTTAAACCTTATGTTAGTGAATATATTAGAAATATAAGGTAAAATTCCTTAAGTAGTAGTCTATATATTTCTGTTTCTTTTTCTCTTTATTCATTTTTATAATATAGAGATATTATTTTTGTTTTTGGTTAGAATATTTTTACGTATTGTAAATTTTTGTTAAAATGGGGACAACCCGTATAAATAAATAAATAAATAAATAAAATTTCTTGTTTCTACCCTCTAGAAGGTTATGCTCATAAGTTTTCCTAGCTTCTTTTAGCAGTTCCTTAAGTTTATTATTCTGTGCTCTGTATTCGTTGTAATCTGCCTCTGAATTGAATTTTTGATTATTATCCCAGATTTTCCTTTTCAAGTCTATTTCTGATTTGGATGTTATCCAGGGTTTTTCAGGACCTTTTCTCACCGTTTTGAGTGGAATGCCTGAATCAATAATTTCCCGCGTTGCGGTGTAAAAAGCTTCACATGATAGAATGAGTTGGTTAAAGGTAAGTTCTGCAATATCTCGGTTTATTGTATCATAGTCGCCACCCCAAATGTTTATTTTTATTGTTTCGTAAGTAGCTTCTTCTCTCAATCTCATTTGTATCACTGCCTTAATTACTTTGTGGTCGTTTTGCCCTATGAGTGCCTCTGGTTTCAATGACCTAACAAGCTTTTTGTCAGTCACAAGCAACAATTCCAACAATGGACATTTTGTAGTTTTACTACCTTGTTCTTCAACTTTCTTAAGATCCTCTTGGTTCCTTTGAATCTTTTCCTTCATCTGAGGAAGATTCTTAATACTCTCTTTGCATCCTGTGCAGAACATAGTAGCTCGTGAGGGGCTTGGGATGACTTATTTCTTGTGACATCAGTTCAGTACACTCGCGGCAGATTACCTATTTGCAGAAGTCGCAAGGATATTCAAAGCGTTTTCCTTTTTCCTCCTTCTGCATATAATCCTTTCTGCAGTTTGAACAGTCTTGCGACATAACTTCCAAACAATCACCCGATCAACACTAGAAAACGACGAAATATCGCTTTGTATACTCGTCTGTATATAGGCTCCCTTGTTGTCCTTAGGGCAAGATATTCCGTTTAACTTCACCAACAAATTATTTCTCTATACTTATTGCAGTTTTCACACTATTTACATATTAATGAATCTGTCATTAATGGGATGTTTGAGCTATTATTATTACTAAATCTAGTAAATAAGATAAATTGAAATTTCAAAAAATAAATAATGAAGAATAACTATTCACAATCCTGAGGGCCAATAAAAATACAATAACTGTTGGGACAACTTGTTATCATTAGGAAAATTTTTGTTTTAAATTCGCTCACCTCTTTAGAAGCTCCTTTAGCAGCTGCAACAAGTGGCGATTCTTTGGTACTACCATCAGGAACATGGAACAATACAACAGGCTGTTCTCTGCATGTATATGCATTAGCAGGTGCATATGCAACATCAACCTTTAAAAAAAAAAATTGCAACAACAGTTATTGGCTATGTATTTTGTTACCTTGAAAAATCCTTTTCGTTGAACTTGAATAATGTCCCCCTTTTTCAATTTTTTCAATTCTGGATCTCCAAGCACCTCAAACTCTTGTCTGGTTTCGTGTTTCACATATTGTTTGAAATCTTCGTCTTTTCCCAATAAAGGTTTGCTTATAATATGCTCAAAATATACACAATAAGTTGGGGTAAATGGAGCTTTACCGGTTTCAGCCAACCAAGTAAGCTTAGGCGTTTTTTTATAATCTTTATTGTCCAAATTAAGATCAGCTTCGATGGTGGTTATTTTGCCATTTAGTTTGTTAATCTTTTTGATAAGCAAATTGCCCCAATTAATAAAAGTAGCATTTTCACCTTCCCTCAAACTATCAGCATCAACTCTATCAATGAGAACTTTAGGTCCGACCCAAACTTCTTTATTTCCAACATCAGCATTTTTAGGATGTTTCGGCACCGTAAGACATTCTTCTTTGGCTCCATTCACTAACACTGGCACCGGCTCATTGGCATCTACTGCACTGAATCTTGGAACAATTGGGTCAATGACTTTCTTGTTAAAAGCCCAAATTTTGTCCCATTCCATGAAAACTACGGATCTACTTGAACCTTGAGCTATAATAAATTCTTTTAGGCCTTCAACCGTCATGCCTCTTCGTAAAACTCCACGTACTGTAGGCATCCTAGGATCATCCCAGCCATCTACTAAGCCTTCGTTAACAAACCAAGTCAATTTTCTTTTACTGAGAACGGTGTTTGTCATGGATAATCTGCTGTATTCCCAAATATATGGTTTTCTTAAGCCCAGAGCTTCAATAAACCAATAAAATTGCTCATCTCTGTCATGATATTCCATTGTTCTTAGAGTATGGGTTACACCTTCTATTGCATCAACTATCGGACAAGCAAAGTCATATGTTGGATAAACTCTATAAAAATAAATAAGAGAGATTGATTAAGCTAATACTTCATGGAAATACATAACAAATTTTGAAAAGAAACAAAAAAGTTTCTAGGTTTCCACAATTTTATTTAAATGAAACCGTAACATGTTTCAGATGGAATAATTTCCTTTCAAAATTTTAAAAAATAAATATTGATTCAGTGAAAAGTGTTCTTACTTATAAGTATTTCCAGTTCTAGGATGCTCCTCATTTTTGCATCTGTAAATCGTTGGATCTCTCATACACCCATTAACGGATTGCATATCAATTTTTGCCCTGACACAATATGTCTGACCAGTTTTCGATCCTTTTTTCATTTCTTCCCAAACTTGCAAATTTTTCTCAACAGAATTGCTTCTATTTGCTGACTCGACCTTTTGCTCTCTTTGTTCTCTCATCAATTCAGCTTCAGTATTGTCAACATAAGCCGTACCATCTTTAATCATTTTTTCGCAATATTGCAACATCAAATCGAAATATTGAGAAGTATGTGTGAACATGTCTGGCTTGATTTGGAGCATTTCAACGTCTTCTAAGATTACTTTTTCAAAATGAGGATTTTCTTTAGCTGGATTGGTGTCATCGAAACGCATTATGAGTTTGCCTTGGAAGGCTTCTTGGTAGTATTGATTGAGAAGAGCGGCTTTAGCATGACCAATGTGCAAATATCTAAAAAGATTATAATAAAAGTTGGCTAGCGAGTGTGATTACTATTATTACCCTGAGGCTTCTGGTGGAAACCTGACAACAACTTTGCCCATTTCTGCTCCAGGCAATTCGATAAATTTGCCCTCACGTACCCTGCCTGAAGCTGTAGTGTTGGCAGGAGTCTTATCCAGAGATTGTCTGCTTTTCTTTTCTGCAGGAGCGATAGCAGCTTTTTGTTCAGGAGTAAGGTTGTTTAGAGTGTTTTTTACTATGTCTTGAGATTGGATAAAGTTGAACCATCTTTGGACATGTACTGGCACTGCTTTTTTGGAAGACAACTCTTGGAAATGTTTGCTGGCTGAAATAGAGTAACAAGAATGTTGTAAGATGAGAGGTAATGAAAAATTGGAGTTTTCAATTCACAACTACACAGTGCACCATTGTTTTATAAGTTTAGAGTTACAAAAGATTTCTCATTGTATCTAGATGCAAAATTCATAGGTTTCAGTTTTCCAGTACAATATGTCATGACAAAACATTTATTTACATTAAGATAAAGCTAGTTTTCTAATGACCATTCAGTAATATTGTCTATATCGGCCTGCAGAGTAATGCAATTGTTGTCATTTCTGAGTTCATAATACATTTTTAAGTCGTCTGCAAACATCAAACATGAAGCGCTTTTGACCACCTCAGTTATACTGTTAATGTATAAAAAAATTCAGTAGCTCTTATCCTAGTAGAGGGCCTAGTATGGCAACTGTAGGAAAAGATGGAACTTAACTTGAAGGAAGAAGACATAACTGATTATTACAGAATCAATACCAAAAATCCTGAAAAACCAATTGTTTTAAAATGTAAAAATTAGTAAAACGGAAGATCTATCAACAGGAAAAAACTAAAAATTTATACACTAGGGAGAGCAATTTCCGTGGACCAAATGTACAGACATACGTCAATGATGATTTAACAGAGAAAAACCATGAACTGTTCAAGATAGTAAGAAACTTTAAACAAAGATGTAACTTCAAGTCTGCCTATTGCATTAACGGCAAGGTTTTTGTTAAAAAAGATGCTGAGGGACCCTAATAAGAATCTACTGCCAAGTACTGTAATGTATATTCTTGTTACTTTGTGTAGGATAATTTGAAATACAAATTCACAGTACAAAATGATATTTTGGAAGACTATCTAACTGATAGTGCTACCAAAAATGATAATATTTCCAGCTTAGGTTTATATAATAGCAAGGTCTGTGATTTTAATATAATTCATATAAATATATGCGGAATAAGCAAGAACTTTAATAGCTTGTTATGTTTTTTAGAAACAACAAAAATAAATTACGATATTATTGTGATATCAGAAAGACACGTTTAACAATATTTATAATAATTTCCAAATAAAAAATTTTGATATATTTTACTATAAATAAATGTGATGGTAGGTACTCTGGTGTATGCAAGGTCTGATATTGTCCTAAATCAGGAAGTTATAGATATAAATTTTAGTAAATTTCTATGGGGTACCTACTTGAGTTAAAAATGATAGGACAGTTGGCGTTGGCCTTATAGCTCACTATCATTTACCAAGTCTTTTGCAGGAGGATTATATTGCAGATTTACACACTCTTTATTTGACTAAAATAAATCATCAATGTGATATCGAAATTTCTGCTGGGGATAAAATAAATTTCAATACTCTGGATGTCGATACAAATATTGGTAATGAATATTTGAATTGTTTAAGTAGTGATGGCTTCAGTCAATGGCATTACTCGGCAGGAATTTAGTATATATAGATCATAATATTTTTATTAAAAATAAACTTAAATATACTGAAAATGCTCAGATAATTAAATCTTCTATCTCAGACCAGTATCCTGTTTTCTTGAACATTGAGTTTCCAATAGAAACAAGACATAACCAAAAAACAAATCAAAAAGTTATACAAAAATGAATAATACAAAACTAAATCAATTATTAAAAAATGAATGCTGGGCAAAGGTTTTTAACAGCTGTGATCCAAATACTGCAACACAAAATTTTATTGAGCAAATAGATTTACATAATTCAAAAGAAGACTGTGTGATAAAAAAATAAGGATTTCTGTCTGAAGCCCTAGATAACCTTATTACCTAAATCTTTTGCACTGTGTAAGACACAGGGATAGATTAAAGAAAATTTGGAGTCGTAATCTGGACAATATTGAGGCAAAACAAAATTTTAATAATTATAAGTATAGAAAAATATTAACCAAAATAATAATAAATAAGGCCAAAGTAGATTTTTATAAGGAAAAACTAAGGGAAAATAGTAAAGATCCTAAAAAAACCTGGGATTACATAAAATGTTCCACCAATGACATAAAAAAAACGTCAGACATAAAATGTGTAAGACTGGAGATTATGGCAAAAAGTTAGCCACAAAAATTGAAAATCAAATACAACAAATTCCTGATTCTTTTGAAGAAAAACCAGTGAAAAATTCCTTATTCCTGTGACCTATAACTGTGGAGGAAATGATCAAAGCAATATATAAGTTAAAAAAATCAGATTCAAACACAGGAGATTTTATTTCTCATTCTTTCATAAAACTTTTACATTACAACACTCTTATTAAACCATTGGTACATTATATGCAATCTTGTGTTTGGCCAAGGAGTATTTCCAGATATATCAAAGACAACTTTTGTAACTCCATTGCACAAGGGAGGGGATCGTAAAGATGGTAATAACTACCGACCGATAGTAATCATTAATAATAATAATTTCCTTTATTTAGCACTTGGCTAATATACATTCTTTTTTACAATTTCACAAAAAAGACTAATAAAAAAAAAACTAAAAACTAAAAAATAAAATAAAAAACAAGTGTTATACAAATTTGCTCCATATGCTGCACCTATTTAACTGACCTAAATTAAAAATTCAACCTTATGCCAATACATTTCTTATCATTCCCCTATTAAGTGTTTTTTCAATTTTGTTTTGAATAAATTTAATTTTGAAATATTCTTGATATGATCAGGTAAAGAATTAAACACAATCAAGCCCTTGTGGAATACCGCATTCTCGGTACTTGCTCTATTCTTTTTTGTTACATAAAAATTGTGTATGCTTCTTGTTGGGTATGTATGTACAGTTTCATTTGTAACAAGTTTCTCTGATAAGTAGTTGGGAGTTAAACGATTTTTTGTTTTATAGACAAGTATTAATATCTGATATTGTAAAAATACTTCCACAGATAGCCGGTTTAGTTCCCTTTGCATATTTTTTATGGGTGTTTCCCTTTTTGCAGCTAATATAATTCGCATACTCCTATTTTGAAATTTTTGTAACCTATTGGGATTTCAAATTAAGATCGTAGCGCCGCGGTGTCGAATAGCTCAACTACTTTCTAGTACATTGATTTATAACCTCACTTTGTTTTGAACCTAATTTACATATGATTTACATTAGCTTCAATGTTTGTCTTGTGTTTATGGCTCTTAATGCAGGCCAAAATTCAATATAATCTATTTCGTTTACCTGATCCGAAATGGTCATATCCATACAACAGCCTAAAGGGATCTTTTTCTTATATTTTTTTAAACTTTCCACAATAGGACATTGCCAAAAGGGTCAAGGCAGATATGTCCCTTATAATGTCTGTATTTGAATAACTTGTGCAATAAATAAATAAATATTTCATAAATAACTCTTTATTTTTATTTATAAATAAGTAACAATCGAATTAACAAAGTCAAATAACTTGACCACAAACCTACCTATAATACTGGTAATTATAATTTAATAAAAACTTGACACTTTCTGCTGTTTGCTCGTCCATTTGTATGTCTGTCTCAGAAGAGTTTAATAATTGATTACAAGTATCCCTACATTCATTACTTGTATCGCTCTCACTAGAATCTTGATTTCTTTTTCTTTTGGCAAGTCTTTCAGCACACATGGAATCTGTTTTTTGACTGGGTTGATGGATCACTGTAGAAGAGGGCAAATTCTGAGATGGTACAGCTGTTTTTTTTTTAATATCCAACCTCTACCTGTACTCTCACCTGTAAATAATAAAAACAGTCAATATTTTCAAACAAAACATTTTAAAAATAGATAATAGGTACTTAATCAATGCCTGAAAGCAGGCCTAAAAGGAAGCTAGGGCACAAAAATATCCATTATGCTTGTTTACCTTAACACAAACTTCTTGCTTGAAATGCAGAGAAATACACTTTCATGAATTTGGTGACTGGTTAGCCAATACGAAGTTCCAAAATCCAAGCTTTTCTTCTCAACACTAACTCTTTTCCCAGCTTCGTTTCCAAATCAACTGGCGGGCCTGTTTCAGGGGGAAATATGTGGAAACTCAACCCTTTGTCAGCATCTTTTTTAGCCCAAGATTTGCACTGAGGAACACAACAGTTGTGATTGGAGGTTATAATTGAATGTATTTGATATAATTTAAACTTAATAATTCAACAACACGCTTTAAAAACTCAAAAACACCTCAAAAATATTTACACAAATACAAGGATAAACAATTAGAAAAACATATGACAATGTACTACAAACTAGTTCCGTAATTTGCCGCCAGATAGAGTACCGCTTATCTTGAAATCCCAATTCAGTTCATTCTTATTGGTAAGATAGAGTATAGATGAACTAAAAACAAGATGTGGTAGGACCAATGTATTGAAGACAGCCACCTTCGACCATCGTGACAGGAACGGCGACACTCGCGACAAAAAATTAACGTTTTTGGTTATTTTGTCAATTATATACAATGCATGATCCTTAAAAGTCAGATGATTATCCACAATAAAACCAAGATATTTAGTTTTTTCTACTACCTCTAAAGTAGTGTTTTCCACTTTTATACTCAAGTTACTCAATTTAAATTGTTTTTGAAATGTATCACTCCCTATAAGCATAAATTTTGTTTTTTGTATGTTTAACTTTAATGACATGCTATTAAACCACTTGTTGTGCAACCTCCAAATTAATAGTTTCAGTTAAATGATTCAAATCATTCGAACTGAAACATAACAATGTGTCATCTGCGAACATATGTATTGAACAATTATTAATCTCTTTAACTGCATCATTAATATAAATTAAGAATAACAATGGGCCCAATGTACTTCCCTGTGGTACGCCGCTGGTATTTGATAGTTCTGAAGATATATGCTTATTTATTTTTGTTACCTGCTTTCTATTATTCAAGTAATCAATAAGCCAGTCCAGTGCTCTATTAATTATGCCAATTTGTTCTAATTTCATTATCAATGTTTCTCTATCTATTGTTTCAAAAGCCCTCTGCAAATCCAGACACTGCCCCTATCACAAAGTTTTCATCTAAAAGA